TTCTCTATGGCATCCAGACAGGCTCTGTGGCCCACCCAGCCTCCTATCCAGTGGGTACCGGGCATTAAAGCGGAAGTGGTATTAAACTGACCATTCACCTCCATCCATTGCTAAGGTCAAGAATTATGGAGCTATACCTCCACTCCCCATATGCCTTCATGCTGTGGTGCTTCATCACATAATTAACTACAAAAATAACTACATCTTTCGCCAACTTTCCTTATTTTGCAAAAATGAATGCAGGCTTGTGCGATTTCCAGCCGGTATCTCTGTGTATCCCCCCAAACCGCAAAGAGCTTTTGTGCCGTCTAAGTGCAACTTCGTTCGCTATTGCATTACTAGACACTACATGTTTCGGCCTAACTGGCCATCTTCAGGTGTGCAGGTTGTCACTGAATTCCTGAAACAATCTATATGAAACCTGAGTCTATCTCACTGGCGTACCATAAATCTCTCCCATCAGCCTGTGTGTCTGTATGCGTATACCTCCTATCGCTGCTAGACAATGGCTCGGTATACGTCCCCGCGGCTACGAATACATAAAACAAAGAACTGTTGGAGGCGACGTTTTCTATTTGGCCCGTGTCGTTTCAAAGGAAAGTACACGAGTCTCTGTGTTGCAAGGCAATGGCTTGGTAAACACGTTCTCGCTGCAACGAAGAACTGACGAAGGCGTCATTTTCTATGCGGTCCATGTCGTATCAAAACAAAATAGGCAATCTGGTCTCGCCAGAACTTCTTGTTTTACCTTGATACATACGCCTAGGCCTCCCAAGTGGCTTCTTCCTCTTCGGGATTCCAAAAATACTGTAAGCATTTCGTTGTTTTACTTGTCAGAATAGAGACATGGATGGCGATTGCTTCTCATGAAGATAAGAAGTCTACATACGAATAATACAAATACTGTTCCCCACACTCTGTGAAATATTGATCCTGTACAACAACAAACTTCTGGATCTCAGACACCTTGAAACTCCCCAACAGTTTACTTTCTCAAAAGTTTTATCCAACAATCCCATTTCTTCTAAAATAAATCACTTTTGTTTTCGGAGGTTTGCTTCCACTCCTTCAGTACGCATGACAGCCATACCGTATGCTACTGCTATGTGGCGAGGCCGTTCCCAGTTACTATTAATGTTACAGAGAGTCATGTTAGTCCAGGTTTAACCGTTCCCTGTCAATATTCTCGATAGCTCATTATCGCGTCCACAACAACACATCACTGGGGTCTATCCGGAGCCACATGAGTCCACGCCACGATATCACTCCCCATTTCTATAAGATCCCTTTTAGTGGAGTCTTCCAATACACGACTTGGTTTCCCAAGTACTCTCTTCATTTGGCTCTTCCGACGGACTTCTTATCGGGGCACGCGGTAGCGTAATTGGTTGCGGCACTACGCTACAAGCGAGAATCCCCGATGTCATTGAATTTCTCAGTTGGCCTAAACCTTCCAGCCGCACTATGGCCCTAGAGTCGACTAAGCCTCTAACAGAAATGAGTACCAGGAATCTTCCTGGGAGTAAAGGGAGGCCCGTGCGTGAGGCTGACAACCTCACCGCCATCCATGAGCCGACTGTCTAGAAAATCTGGGAGCCTCAATATCTCACAGCCCGACTGGCCTCCACGGCCTGTTACAGGGACAGCTTTACATTTTTTTACATTTATGGATTTCTTATCTCTGGCATCAGTGTTACAACACCGCCTAATGCATGCCGGAAGAGAGATGTCATTGGGCACAATAAGCAAACAGTGGACGCCTTCCCCCACTTCACCTTCCCACGGACCTCTCTAGTCCGGCAGACAACATTTCAGCCTCCTTGACTCGACCACCCTATGAAGAAGAGAACACATTATGAGGCTTGGAATTGTCGAATTCCATCCGGCATCCTGTTACTTACACCCTCTTGGATCAAAATATTCTCTCAACACTTCGTTTCGTAATACTCTTCATCCATGTTCTTCCCTTGGTGTGAGAGATTAAGTTTCACGCCCATACTAACGTGTACAATTATAGTTTTATCTTTACGTTTTTTCTTTCTTCATAGTAGAGGGGAAGACAAAAAAAATTCAGGACTGAGCGAGTCCCCGAATTTAATTTGCTCTTAATTTCGTAATGAATGCAATTCTGTCACTGAAGTTCGACTTTGCCACAGTCCTGACGGGTTTATTAGCTATTCTTTGAACTTATTACGATTTAGTCCTGCATATATTTTGTGTGCAATCCGATTCAATCAAAATTTAAAATCTGGTAGAAACTGAGATGTGAGATGTCATTCTTAAGGTAAGAACTCTAAAATATGAATATAACTCGTTATAAGCAAGAAGTTCAGTGAAGAACTATAGTACTGTCGCTGCCTTTTACGAAGTTAAATGGTTCCTATATTCAATTTATAGTTATGACCAGGGACTTACGAGTAGTCTATAAGATACCACAATCAGTACATCACAGAATATGGTATCATTACATTTCAAATCAGGTATTCGTAAATCCAATGGCTTTACGCGTCGCCTTTTTCACTATGGAGGCCAACACGCATATTACATCAAAACTCGATAAAAAGATGTGGACGCGGCTCGCTGGAGCCGGACAGCTCAGCTAGTATAGTGTCTAAGATATGGGCCAGACGACGACCGTCTTTGTATTCCTGGCGGAAGCTAACATTAACCTCCTCACCGACGCTTACAAACGGCCCTGGGGCCCAGGAAGCCTACGGGGACGTTATCCCCGGAAGTACAGCAGTGCGAACGTGAAACTGACCATCTACATCCAGTGCCAAAGTTGAGACTGCGTGGAGTAGTATCTCCACTTCCTTATGTGTCTTCAGGGCATGGAACTTAGCCGTGAACAGGGCCGACTTCAACCTCTCCAATCATTCTCACCGGATAACTGATTCACGAAAATATGTCTTGGGAGTCAAGGCGGGGACATAAATACGTAACTGTTACGCTTTACCTTGTAACCTCTAAGTGGTAATATTTTATTCTAAAAACTCAAGTCATGGTACGAACCCACAGTCAGTATATCCAGTATATGTACTGCACATATGAAATGTAGCGTAATCAACTGACGTGCATGTTACGCTCAACCGTTCTTGTTTCATAACACTCAGTCCACATCCACACCAAATCAATCGCTATTCGTAACAATTTATCGCATCAAAATATTCAAGGCTGTTTTACTTCCATTTGTGACCAATTTACTACTCTCCCTCGTACTTTCTGGAATAATGAAACATTTCAAATGATGGAGTTGCGAGTTTCTATATGAACATTAAATTCGACATCACACAGGCTCAACACAACAGACGCCTCACTTTATCATATATCGGACGTAGGGGAATAATTTTGGTGTTAATTAACATGTATGTTTGGGCGAATAATCTTTCAATGGAAAACGTATTCAGTATGAGACCCACCGGAATCTACGATCATCTGCAGTCGACGCTGAAAATTCTTCTTCTTACAAGAGTTCTATTTTACTGAAAGTCAACCGAAGTTTCGGAGAGACATGTAGTGCAGTTCCGCTTGCTAACTGCTTCATGCTGATTTATATCTTGGCTTATTCTGCGTCCCTGATGATGGAGGTGACATGTTCGTCCGACACGTCGAATGACGTTCAACGGGCTTCTCGGCGTTATATCCCAAAAGACAGAACTGTTCATAAACACCGCTGTGATAATCTCAAATCCTACATACTCTGCCGAGTGTCTGATGACAACTTGGTTAATCAACTGTACGGGGGTTATTTCCTTACACACTGTCTTCAAAATATGACCCTTAAAAAAGTTACAGGGGTTGAAGGCGGGAGATGCGGTCTGAGACAGGAAGATTGCCAGAATGCTCACTGAAGGCGTCAAAACCTGCATTCGCTGTATGACGTCGAGCCCCATCCTGTTAGACGAACGTTTTCTCGAGATGAATATGAATGAATGCCTTCAAGGACGTTCTGAAAACGTTCTGCTGTCACTGCATCGGCGAGCAAAATCGAACCAACAATTCCTACTGGCACAATCGAATTTCCTGCTTAAACTGCGCTGCACTTGAACCACAGCTGCGGCACAACACACGTCCTGACTTGCAGGCCATCGCGCCAAACCGCGACGCCGGCAACACATCCTCCCGACCAAACTGAGGCGTCCATTTCAATTTATACGGTTTACAGCAAATTTTGCCTGAATCCATGTTACCTGTTGCAGAATGCTGCCACCAAAACTACCCAACTGTGGGACAGCACTGAACTCGACCGCTCTTTTCATATTTTAGTAGAATATTAATCTTGTTTCGGGCATTAAAGTTACCTAACTATCTTGTGAAAGTATGAAGCTGAGAACTATGGACTTCTGGTTTATGTAGTAGGGTTTATGTAGGTGGGTACCCTTGTACTCTTCTCCAAGTATAATTAGAATGATCAAGTCAAGGAGGACGAGGTTGGCCGGGCATGTAGCAGGAATGTGGCAGACGAGGACAAGGGGTGGGTGGACAATATTAAAATGGATCTTAGAGCGACAGGATGGGACGGTATGGATTGGATCGCTCTGGCTCATGATTGGGACCAGTTCAGGTCTTTTGTGAACACGGTAATGAACCTTCGGGTTCCATAAAATGCTGGAAAATTCTTGAGCAGCTGCAGATTTTGCTTCTCCTCAAGAAGGGCTCAGTTCCATAAGTAAGTACGTGGGTACCCACGTTTTGGGGGGGGGGCAAAATGTCTCGATGTTCAGGGTGGAAACTTTTTGTGCCCACCTATTTCACTATAAAATGTCATAACCTTGATGACAACAATGTGTGTTTTACCTCGGTGAAACTCTCAAACTTCACGCACAAATATGCGACATTCACGCATGAAATTCCCAACAAGCGGCAGTAATTGACAGTTCACGAGTTTGATGAAACAAAACGCTATTCTAGGTCTTCCACAAAGCAGATGAACGCATCTGCATCAATTTACGATATCAAGATGAACTACAAGAAACGCGTTACACAGAATGAGTACTTACGTAATCGTGGAAGGCTTTCGCCTCGCTTGAATGCTCACACGTGTCCCTCCTCTCAGGCGCTGCACAATACAAATCCCAAAAGACACTGAAACAATAATGAAATACCAATTAGTCAACAAATATATGTAACTAAATTATGAGTTAAATTAAATTTACGAGAATATTTATGTAATCTACGTGCACAATTTCCTATAACAGGCAATAGGCCCTACAAATTTGACAGAATTTAGAATACTAACAGAATGGAGGTTTTCTGTTCAAGGAACGCTCTACAGATTTTATATTTCGATGGATTTGACTGCACAATTTGAAAGTCTCTTCATATACAACTGAGACACTTATGTATCAAGTTGTGAATATATCTAATTTGCGTAATGATCACTATTACACATAACAGATTACAGATCAGTCTTTCCCCGATGTAACTGAATGATGATAACGAAGGCGTGTAAACTACAAATACGCTCATCTCTTCAAATGATGAGTCTCCTTGGAAGTGACGCCTTAAAGTCTGGTTTTAGAGGGTTGAAATGACCCTTATGATGGGGCGCTATATCCTTCCGAAATGTTGGTAACCATCATCCGAACTACACAGCCTCATATCCCAAAAGACCCAGTCTTAAAGATGTCTTCAGTGTTATGAAGATGTGCTGAAGAACTGCCTCTCTGGGAATGTTCTGGTCCAGCAGTAGTGTCGGTCTAGACGCCATGATGCACGGCCTCTCCAGGCATACATTCCAGCCGTTTTACAACCCAGATGATTCGCCCAACGCTGATCGTTGATGATTCAACATCAATAAGTTATACGAACAGGTCCCTCAATAGCACGAATGGTAGATGCATGTTGGTTTCTTGAAGCAACTACGCCGTCCTTACACAGGAAAAGCGGTTTCATATTCAAACAAGATCGAGTATAATTTTCAAGAAACTGAACCAATACCGACAGACTGAACAACCGCCTTCCTATAACATCTATATAGTTTTATTTTACTGCAATCTGCCATATAAAAACTGAAGAGAAATGCATGTATGGCCGCATCTATGGTCTACCAAGGAAACCTAGCATCTTGCTATCCAGGAACTCGCCAGCCCTTATAAGCAAAATAACAATTATAAAATGGGTAAAATTTGAAATTCTCATTGCAGTGAGTAGCACTCGTAAGTTACGGTCTTATGAGATGTGGCGCCATGTGTTCCTTCAGGGAAGCAGGGTATGGCAGCAGGTTCGTCTGAAATGTTTTCCTACCAAACTACATGGCGTCACACCCCAGTAGACCGCGGTCCGGTTATAAAATGTATATTACGTTTTTCTGCAGCTACTGAATTAGCATAAGTTTCCTCCTTTTAACAAAACGACAGTATACTATTAACTTTAAAAACAACTCTTACACGGTGTGACAATTAAGTTCCTAAACTGACGCTATTATAGTGATACTACTAACGCCATCTATGGGGGGTGAACGGGACTAGTTACAGAGAAAGTTCATTTATATGATGCGCAAGTTTTAACTTGTTTGGTTATCGTATATGAGAATTACAACTGTTTTGATTAAGTTAGTTTTTCAGTCGTGTCGAAGGTTTAAAAGTGGAACAAAGAGCAACGATCAAGTTTTGTGTAAAATTAAAGAACACGGCTATTGGAACGGTTGAAATGTTGAAAAGTGCGTACGGTGAAGAATGTTTATCGAAGGCAAGTGTGTCTGAATGGCACAAAAGGTTCAAAGCAGCTCAGAAAGTAAATAATGCAAAAATCGCGGGTGAAAACAATGTTGACTGCATATTTTGAAGCTTAAGGGCTCACTCATTACCAGGGCCCGGATTTTGATGACCTAAAAATATTTAAAAAATGACCTATAAAATGACCAAAAAAATCCAGAAAAAATACCTAAAATATGACCCAAAAATGTAATATGCAGGGCCCGGATTTTGATGACCTGAAAATATTAAAAAAAAATGACCGAAATAATCCAGAAAAATGACCTAAAGGAGAAAAGAAATAACACTTCGCTTCCATGTTATTCACATTTCAGAAAACATATGAAGATAAATTCCCTAAAACGGCCAAAAATGACAAGAAATAGCCTTAAAAGTCGAAAATTTTTCGAGAAAAAATACCTAAAAATGTCAAAAATTACCTATAACTTTACATTTCTGTAACCAGCAGTTCATATCCGAGATTTATATATTTAAGAACATCGAGTAGGATACAAGGGAAAAAAGATGACATGTCATCAAAATCCGGGCCCTGCTCATTACGAATTTACGCCGGAAAAACAGACTGCAACAGTAAATGTCATAAAGAGGTGATTAAGGCATGAATCGCTCGAGTTCATCGCCTTAGGCTGAGTTTCAGGTATCTTCTGCACGACAATGCACCGGTGCAGTCAGAGTTGGGGATCCCCGTGTTATCCCATTCACCCTAATCCCCCGATTTGGGATGAACTGGACGATATTCCAAACAGTTTCATCGATCAAGCAGACTGTGACAAGACAGCTGAAGGCGATATGGGAAGAAGCGTTTTCTCGGCCTTCCATTCGTTGTATAAGCGATGTAAATGTTGTGCGGAAGTGGGCGGGGACTATACGAATACTGAGTGATAGTATTCATAAATATTTGTTATCTTTTTGTGTGGGTCTTTATTGTCTCAGTTCTGGAACTTAATTGTCACACGGTGTATTTCAAAACTAGAGGCATTATCATCTGAGACCTTGTGCATGTTGCAGAATGTATCACATATAGTGGTGTCTGGGGGAGGGGGAAGAGATATTCTTGAATCCCTATTAATTTTAGACAGAGCCATCTCGAAAATAGTTGGTATGAAGAAAACTGACAGTGACTAGACTGAAACACCCGACCCAACTGCGGTGCTTCCACCTGTATGCTGTATGCTGCATAACCCAGCGGCTATGCGAAACATTCTGAGCGGTCCGGACAAGAACTGTAACGACATCCTTCCACATAAAAAGCATAAAGTTTGCTGTTCTTTTGTCAACTATGCTGGAAGTCGTTATAAACAATATCAGAAGATAGTAGCAATGAACGATAACAGAAGTATGCGTGAGTCTGCATCGAAGTCTCCAACTCAGACGAAAAAGAATTCACAGCACACCTCTGGATAGAATAGCCACTTCACACATTTGGTTAGCCTATCAAGTTCAGTATTTGATTAACTAACCAGCTCCATGGAGCTAAGTCTTCCTTGAGAAGCCGACAATCGCTAGGCTACTGGAGAAAACCCCAATATTTTATTGAACCCGAAGGTTCATTACCGTGTTCACAAAAGCCTACCTGAGCCAGTCAAATCTAGTCCATAATACCACATTCTATATCTCTAAGATCGGTCTTAATAGTACTCTCCCTCCTATGTCTTTGTCTTCGTAATGGTCTCTCTCCTTCTGCCTTTCCCACCAAAACTCTATATGAATTTCTCATTTCCCCATGGATGCTACATGCCCCCCCCCCACTCATCCTCCCTGGCTTATCCTTCAAATTATACCTGGCGAACTATTGTTTCATCCCTCTCAGGACCAGATACTCTCCACAGTACCCTGTTCTTATATGCCCTCAGTCTATGTTCTTCTTCAATGTCAGAGACAGAGATTCACACCCATACAAAACTACAGGCTGAATTACAGTTTCGTATATTTTAACTTTTACGTGTTTAAACAGGAGTCGAGAAGAAAAAAGGTTGTGGACTGAATGGTGCCAGGCATTACACAAAATGAATTAGCTCTTATTATCCTCAAGAATAGATACACACTGTAAATGTAGGTAGTTGTATTTCCTGAATTGTTCATGTTCTTGAAGCTAAGCATTTACAACTAATTTTCTTTTTAAAGGCATAAGTGCATACAAATGGTTTACTCAGTAGACGTTATGTTACAAGTCCAATATGGACGACAACCGCAACAATTTCGCGTGCAAATTCCACTATGGCCTTGTATACACGAAGTTCCAAACACAGCAGAAAAGGAAATATTTCTGTACTCACGGTCACCGGAAATTCAAATAATCATTTGACTGCAGAAAGCCCTGCAGCCCGAAAGAGCGCAGACACTTGCCACTTCTCCTTCTAGTAACGTCATTAATATTTCCTTGAGTTTCACCAACATTCTGGCGAATAACTTACAGGTGAAGTGCCCTAAAATATGTCACGGCCACTTCCTACCACGCCATTCCGGATGTCGCTCAGAAGCTTCCCAACATTTCACTCGGCGCATTCTCAACCACAGGTGAACAAGACTTGACACAGGCTAAGATGACTGCCTAGTTCTGAGACCCTCACGAGTGTTATTAACTCTGAGAATGCGCTAACGCCACTCTTCCGAATTTCTGAATGCATGGATCCAAACACTGGGCAGAACCAGGCATGTCCAACTTCAAACAGGCTGTGATCGACTTTTTAGTGTCAAAACTGCCAGTGATCTACCCCCTCCTATTATCGTACCTCGCTTTAAGCAAAAATATTGGTAAAAATAACACATGATGTTTGTTATAAAAGCAACATACATTGAAAGTACAGACTACTTTAACACGTATTTTTCTTTCAAAATCTGAATATAATCATATTATATTACAAGTGTATTTACATGCTTTTCCTTATAGGCCTATGAGTTCGACCAAAAATCGTCCGGCGATCGACGCGTTGGACATGCCTGCCATACACAGTTCTTTGTTGTGGTTTTTATCTTCCTTCCCGGTTACTTTACGTCTGTATTGCAGGACAAAAGTGCATTTCATCAGCCACTTCATATTAGCAATTGCTAAACAACCACTTCACTGCATGAATGGCGTAACAAGCTAAAATTGAAAATCGGCCCAATCGCCTATCCGAAAGCGTAAGAGCTTAAGCTTTCATTCCCTCGAGTTGAGCAACTTCCTATTGCTCATTACTCGTAAGACTCTTAACTGAATTGCAGTAAAGCTAACATTTTAAACCAAGCGACCAATGCTGATTTGTTTCTGACTGGACAAGTTTTCCTGTGATAAAGTCTACGCTCATAAATTTTGTATTTTATTTCGTCCCACAAGTGTGATTAAGACCGGATGTAAAGGCCGCGCCATAGCTCAAGCGGTTAGTCGCT